CTATAAATTTTGGGATCTAGTGCTCATACAAGTACATAGTTCCATGGAGTAAGATAGAAGTATGGTTAGAGCATATACGTTAATTATCTTTCATATTTGTTTCTTAAGAAAACTAATGAAAATGGTTTGAAAACTTTGAGTTTTAACGATTTAAACAAAATAAAGGGTAAAGTGAATTGTATCATAATTGACTTTTTTAGTGTAAAAATATGGTTTTTCGTTAAAGTGAACAGTACCGGAAACTTTTCGTTAAAATTCTCTTGTTTCTTATGATTGAAAAACATGTGTTACAGTCGTGATTAAACTAAGATGAAAGATATTAAACATTTAACTATATTCCCATTGTAGTCAAGTATCTCATTGTGTTTTTTTTTTTTAACAAACGATATTATCTAAACTAAGATAGAGGGAGTTGGTTTAGCCTCACAATGGGTTAGTAATAATGTAATTCTAATTCACATTTGACGAGAATCGAACTTAAGATCTCTCACTTACAAATGAAGAAAAATATCATTAGACCGTAGTACTAAATGACAAGAATCTCATGTTCTTAAAAGACCAGTATTAGTGTTTCGTTTCACCCAAAATTAAAAGGCAAGAACTAAAATGAATCTTAGCAAACTCTTGGTAAAGAAATATAACTTTAAAAAAATATCTTAGCAAACTCATTTTGAAAATACAAAGAAACCCCAAAAGAAATGTTTACATGCAGATGAAGTCCGGGTCATTCCAGTAAAACCAGCCTGCTTTTAGAAGCAGAGTTTCCAAGTTCATAGAATGCCAATAAATAATTCGAATTTTAGGGTAAAGTATTTTGGGAACAACAAAACAAAGTAATGGTGGAACATCGTAATCTTCTCAAAGGAGTTTCAAATTGTTTATATAAACATTTTTTTGTTTACATCAACATTATTATAATTAAACTAGCAACTAGTTTTTACTTTAAGTTTACCATATCAGATTAAGTTACTGAATTTGGAATATACTCAATGCTTATTTGTTATTACGGCCCTCGTAAGTTATAACTCTATTCCAATTCTACATTGTCAGCTGAAGCAAAAATTACACCACATCGTTTCTTGAAACTCAATTTTGCATCACTTTCTTACATTATGTCCATTTTATTTAAAAATTTACGCCACTTCGTTTTCTGAAACTCACTTTTTGCATCACTTTCTTATATTCTGTCAATTTTGTATCTATATAGTCCGCTAACGTGGCATGATGGAGTCCCATTTATTTCTGTTTTGATTGCCATTTGTGCAAAATAATATATTATTTTGCACAAATGGCAATCAAAACAGAAATAAATGGGACTCCATCATGCCACGTTAGCGGACTATACAACAACAACAACAACAACAAAGCCTTTTCCCACTAAGTGGGGTCGGCTATATGAATCCTAGAACGCCATTGCGCTCGGTTTTGTGTCATGTCCTCCGTTAGATCCAAGTAATCAAGCCCAGTTCAAGAATAAGCCTGTGGAAAGTTACTTCTTCAAAAGCAAAAGTATCCCATATCATCTCTTCTCATTTTTCTTCTCTTTATCCTTCATGCTGCCTGCAAGATAGGGAGAATGTGAACAATCAGCCGGAGCTTTGATTCCTTACCTTGTCTGTTACCTCTTTCAGCAGATCCCCTAGCTCGGCGACTTGGGGGACTCCTACTACATGGTTTGTATCGCGCTTGACCAAGCCTGAAATTACAAGTAAGCTTCAAGTGACATTGATACATTACCTTGTGCATCTCCACCAGTTACAGATACCACCCCTGGATGGAGGAAGAGTACTTCCAGAGAAGATTCCACATCTACCTATGAGACAGATAAGGAAAGTCAAGCCGATACCACACTCCGGGACTTAGAAGTTTCGTGGTTACGAGATCATTCTCCCACAATATTTCCTAATGTCATTTGTACTAAATCATTCACTTGTACTCCCTAAAGGAGAGCTTGAACCTATGTACTTGTGTAAACCCTTCACAATTAATGAGAACTCCTCTATTCCGTGGACGTAGCCAATCTGGGTGAATCACGTACATCTTGTGTTTGCTTTCCTATCTCTATCCATTTATATACTTATCCACACTAATGACCGGAGCAATCTAGCGAAGATCACAAAAAGTGACCGTTTTCGCTACCTAGGATCTATCTTGCAAGAGAACGGAGAATTAGATGGAGATCTCAACCATAGAATACAAGCTGGATGGATGAAGTGTAAGAGTGTATCCGGCGTGTTGTGTGATCGTCGTAGGCCACTGAAGCTCAAGGGAAAATTTTATAGGACGGCAATAAGGCCAACGATGTTGTATGGCACAGAATGTTGGGCGGTGAAGCATCAACACGTACACAAAATGGGTGTAGCGGAGATGAGGATGCTTCGTGGGATGTATGGGCACACGAGAAAGGATAAGATTGGGAATGAGGATATCCAAGGTAAAGTAGGAGTAGCCAAAATTGAAGGAAATATGAGAGAAAATCGGTTCCGGTGGTTTGGACATGTGCAAAGAAGGCCTACTGACGCTCCGGTTCGAAAATGTGACTACGGGACAGAAGTTCAGGGCCGAAGGGGTAGAGGAAGACCTAGGAAAACTTTGGAAGAGACCCTAAGAAAAGACTTGATTACTTGGATCTAACGGAGGACATGACACAAAACCGAGCGCAATGGCGTTCTAGGATTCATATAGCCGACCCCACTTAGTGAGAAAATGCTTTGTTGTTGTTGTTGTTGTTGTATAGTCCGCTAACGTGGCATGATGGAGTCCCATTTATTTCTGTTTTGATTGCCATTTGTGCAAAATAATATATTATAAAAAAAATTAAAAAAATAAAAACTAAAGTTCTTCTTCCCCTCGCGTTACCGCCGCACCTTCCTACCCAAAATACACTAATTCAAACTATCAACCCACCAACTCAAAATCAAAATTTGGGGATTGAGTATTGGAGTTAAAATACTTGTGCGAAATGCTTTTATTTGGGTTTTTTGATTGAGTTTTGTTTGTGATCACAATTGGGAAGAATGCTGAAGCCCGACTGCATCAAGGTCATTGTTACTGGAAACATTAGAACAAGTTTGGTTTGGTGGGTCTTCACTATCTGATGAAATTTCCGGTTCTTGATTTGAACTTCCAAATGGGTTTAACAGTTATCGATCATGCCAAGTCAGTGAACTTAACAGATTTTTAAAAGATTAACGGAGTATGAGAAAGTGATGCAAAAATTGAGTTTTAGAGGGGAAATGGCGGAATTTTGAAATCTTATAGACAAAGTTAAAGTCAATACGACTGTAAATTAGTAGTGAACCCCTAAATCGTCTCCTTGAAATCTTATCGGCAAAGAAGATTTGTTCATGGTTGAATGGAGCAGTTCATAATTGAGTTTTGTTTATGCACGGGACAATATAAAGCATTATCATGATTAATGATGACCAAAGTAGTTAGTGAGAAAGAATTAAAATTAAGATCAGAATTGGGTACTAATTAAAACTCTCAAGTCTCAACCATCTAAATTAATCTCCATTTTGTTTTGGTTGGTGACTTTCCGTGCAAGGCATTACTATGTAATTCCAATTTGCGTCGGATGAAGGATATGATTTTGGTTGTTGTTCTTGTTCCAACTTCCAAGGCTCCTCCCAACCGTTGTTTGGATGTTGATTGCTAATTTGAATAGACGTAGAGGGAAAGACAAGCTTCAATTCCAAGCTGCTTCTGAATCTCTACAAATTACAAAAAGAAAGAGGAAAGAAATGGAGCCTATGATAGTATGATGGACCACTTTTGTGTTTTAAGTTGTTGATTCCTTGTTAAAGCTTGTGTTTCCATTTATTGCCATGGCTCCATCCTACATTTCAATTTTCAAATGCAAACTTTCATGATGGTAAACAACTTACATGGTATGAGTATTGATCCCGAAGACTCGGAAGCTGGCCATTTGGGCCTTTTCTTTCCAAAAAGATGTGAAACACGCTAGATAATTGATGGACCACATTGCTAATTATTTGTTTATTGTTGTTTGCAAATGTGGGAATATGATCATTTGTTTAGAGGTATGAACGAAGCATAATGGACCCAAGTTGAGTTGTGTTACAATCAATTGCATAACACCCGTGTGGGTGATTTTTTGTTGTTGTAAAATTCACATTTTGATCAATGATTATAAATCTCTTACATGTGTTAGCGATTGACATTAGCAAAATTTTACATGTTTTCTTATCAAATAACAAATTTTCATTAAAAAGCTTGCAACAATTCAACTATGACATCAAAACATCTACTCTGTACTTAAACAAAAGACACAAAACTAAAGCGGACAAAAACTACACAAACAACTATATAAAGCAAACATCACCCAAATTGATCTTAAGTCAAGTTCACAAGAACCATATCCACCAAAACCCTAAAACGACTCATTAGCCTAATGGGTACTACTGCCACCGCATCTAACCATGAAGAAGATTCTGAACATTTTCTCCGGTGATCCATCTGTTTTGAGACTTCATGTCTTATTGAGGCCCAGCCTACCTTGTTGAAAGTAGAATAAGCCCACTTTCAAGGCTTGTAAGCTAAAAAACAATAGCACTTTGGAGCCTAATTGCCTCTTCGTTGCAAATTGTTAGCAGTTTGTCGTATTTTGATCTGGAGACTTTGTTGACGTTATTGACACTCTAAAAATCTCGTTGTGTACTACTCATAAGTTTATTTTCCTTATTAAATATCGAAAGTTTGAATTGTGCAATAAAATTAGAAAAATGTCAATAACGTCAGCACCACCCAATAGAAAAGTTTAAAACTTTATGAAGTCTTGGTCATAATATATTGATTATTAAGGCCCTTAGCGCTAAGCAATGACCAAACACATCAGAAACAAAATTTAAAGTTTACATAAGTTGGACTAAGTCAATACAAACAGGTACGATAAAATTAAAACCAATAAAAACTAGCCAATGGTTTCAATGAAGAATTGTCAAAAAGCAATGCTCTCCAGATCTTTCCTCCACCAAATCACCATTTTAAAAAGATTACTGGACTATTGACTTTGAGTAGAGTTGTCCTAGCGACCAAGTAAACACTGTCTTCCTATCTCTGTAAAACCCAGAAGGAGTTTAATCCAGTGATATTATCCACAAAAGGTGATTAATTAGCAAAACTTGATTAGTTAGTGCTTATATCATGGCTGAAGTGAAGCTGCTGGGATCTTGGGGAAGCCCATTTAGTAGGAGAGTGGAAGCAGCTCTGAAGCTAAAAAATGTGGAGTATGAATTTGTTGATGAGGACCTGCAGAGCAAGAGTGCTTTGCTTCTGAAATCCAACCCAGTTCATCAGAAGATCCCTGTGCTCCTGCACAATGACAGACCAATAGCTGAGTCCCAGGTCATTCTTGAGTACATTGATGAGACTTGGAAGGAGGGTTTTCCCATTTTGCCTAAAGATCCTTATGAAAGAGCTCAGGCACGTTTCTGGGCTAGGTTCATTGATGAAAAGGTAAAAATGTTTCACTTTAATCTTTCCGTATTAATTATATAAAAAAAAGTTATCTTCTTTATTGTGCATCTAAATCATTGATGATCAAGGTTATTTTTAACAAAGTTGATTATAGCATGAATGTGTAGTTTACATTAACAGCATGTTTAACATAAGCATGTGCATGGTGATTTTGCATTGAGCATATTAGCTAGAAATTCTTTTGTGACTACCAGTGTAAAATGTTTATATAACTAAAACTTCGATCATTGTTTGATTAACTTGAATTTTGTTTGAAATGTGTACTTGTGCAGTCTGGATCAAACATAACAACACATGTCTGACCCCACATAATATGTTGGTAGTATAGAATGTATATGCTATGGAGTATGAATTATTGATGAAGTTGGTTTTTGTATGACATATGTAGTCTAGATTAATAAAATTTATATCATACCGTCGAGGTTTCTTAAAAAAAAATGTGGTCTAGACTAACAACTTGAAAACATATGTCTGGTTACATAAAATCTGAATTAGTGATCAAGTTGATTCTTATATGATATGTGTGGTCTCAGATAATAGTTATACATCATTAGTTTGGCAAGTGAACATTATATAGTCCAATTTTCTGACAGCACTAATTAATTTTGCACACCATAATATGCCTAATAAGCTAAATTCATATTTTGTTTGCTTATTTTAGTGCTTGCCTGCAACATGGAAAGCTCTCTGGGGCAGTGAGGAACCTGAGAAGGCTGTGGAAGAAGCCTGTGAGCTTCTGAAAATATTGGAAAATGAGCTCAAAGACAAGAAGTTCTTCGCAGGAGAAACCGTTGGACTTGTGGACATTGTTGCCAACTTCATAGCCTTCTGGCTTAGAGCCATTCAAGAACTTGTTGGAGTGGAGCTGTTGAGCAAAGAGAAGCTTCCCAAACTCTACAACTGGAGCGATGAGTTTTGTAGTGTTTTTCAGGAAAATCTGCCTCCCAAAGATAGATTAGTTGCTCACTTCCGTGGTCGCCTACAAAGCACCACCACCACTACTACTTCCAGCTAATTAAAAGGGTTCATAAATCAGTCATAAGATGGTTTACTTCGAAGCATTTCGTAGTTCATGATATTTATAAGAATAAATGCAGGATTGCACTTGTGGCTAGATCGCGTTCTCTTGTGCGTGCACGCTCGCGTATGATGCATATTTATCTTGTTAGACGTGATATTACTATGTACTCTAAGCTAGATTGAGGGTTGGGCAGAGTTCGAACACCGAAGTGCAATGAATTGACGAAGAATGTCTAATCCACTTAGGTAATCCATCATTTGCAAAGTACTTAGTTACTTATATATTCTATATAGTGCCATATTTTTTTTTAATGAAATCTCTGAAATAAAAGTTTTCCAACTAATTATCATTGAAATATATGATTTACCATTTACCCATTTACATATAATCAGAACAACGTTAACTATAATATTTGCCTCCTACAGAAAAATGTAAAAAATACATAGTAAATCAGTATATAATACGCGTATGACAAATGAATTTTTCAAAATAATTCTATTTTCCGTACAAGTTTCAATAATTCATTAAATTACACATTTTAGAACCTTAACATACAATATTCGTATTATACACGTACTTACATACATTTCATGTTTAGTACACGTTATTTTCACACATCTTTCAGTGTCACACATGTGATGCCCCTATCTCGACATTCGTCCATGATCGACACGTGATGTTAGAACATACCAACATCTAACTTACCTACCTTTCTCGAGACATGACCAGAAATAACGAACAGTTTTATACCGTAGTATCGTTTCCTATTATTTTATAAGTGCATCTAACCTTTGCGTTAGACTGTCTACGTACCCTGTCACAGGATCAAGTCATTCATAGTTCACTCTTAGATAAACTCTAACATTTCTCATGGCATTCCTAACTATAAATATAAAGTTATAGTTAACTTTGAATGTAAGTGATGAATCTATATGTCATTCCATCTTTCACATACTTCAAAAAGATTTCTAATAACAAAACCATAACCAATAACATTTCAATGGATCAACAAGGCAAAAAGTTTAATATTTACCCACATTAATCAATCAATACTATCAAACATCACTTCACTAATCGTAACAAAGCCAACATCTGTAAGGATTGCCGTAATTTTACACTAGTATTATAAGGAAACAACATTGTAATCTTAAATTACAAATACAAGTGTAACCTTGAGCAACATCTACTCACAAGAATCTAACGTTCCGGACCAACTCAACGCAACCAACTTGGGAAAAGGATTATGGACCAAGGGATTCCAGACCAACTCAACTTAATCCAGCTATAGAATGCGCATTGACCCCCAATGTGGATTAACCAGGTGGAACCATAGGCATCCATCCAATAGGGTGGTTCCCCAATACGGATTAACCAAGCAGAACCACCTATGGATCTAATGTGGTTAGGTAAACAATGATCCCTAAATGCGGATTAACCATGCGGAATCACCCCTATAATGCATATGGTTCCCCAATGCAGATTAGCCAGACAAAACCATCTATGGAAATAATGAAGCCAAGTAGGCAGTGACCCACAAATGCGGATTAACCAGGTAGAGTCACCCCTAGAATGTGTAGGGTCCCCTAACGTGAATTAACTAGGGGGACACTTATAGAAGTAATGAACCACGTAGGCAATGACACCCATTGCAGATTAATCAGGCAGAGTCACTCTTACAATGCATATGGTCCCCCAATACGAATTAACCAGCGGGATCATCCATGTACCACATTGTTACATGGTGCAATCACATTATCACACATCATAAATCCTATTATACATTCATTCAACATGAATCACAATTGTAAGTACACACATGCACTATTGAATCCACATGAACAACAATTATCTAATCACACATATGTACAAGTTCTACATAATACTTCTAATATGGCCACCATCTTATCTCCTCATACTAGTATTTGCACAATATCGTTACTGTCATTTAGAATTCAATACACACATAAATTCTGGTTAGGTGTCACTTACATGCAATTCGAGGCACACATCCTCCAAGCAGTGTTCTAAAAGTCGGCCTAAACGGCTGCCTAGGCGATGGGTAGCAGGTTGCCGATCCGATTAAGCCCAAATCGTTGTATAAGTCGGAAAACTCATTCGACAACGCCATGCAAGAATCTAGGCGGGATAGGCGGAGTAGGCGGGGCTGGGCGGCTAGGAGATCTGCCTGGGTAGTTGATTTCTTATGGAAAAATAATAGTAGCCACAATGAAAATTATGAAGTTTGGTGACCACTGAGAAAAACTGGAGAAGATAGAAGGTCAGAGCAACGAATGAGAAAACGATGAATAGTTAAAAATAAACTCGGCTTACGACGTCGTTTCCTTATCGTTATATTATATTTAATTCAATTGGATGCCAACATATTCCCATTGTCCAAAGTTAAATGGACTTGAAAATTAATGGACATTTGACCCAATCAACATCGTCCAGTATGAATCTAGTAATACAAATGATAATGGGCTTTTTCATTTCTAATTTTTTATTAGAGTAAGAAGACTTACAATAAGTTTTTAATATATTTGCTATTTTTAAGTATAAGAATGTAAGTATTCATATGTTTTATGATAAATTTAATTAAAATAAAGGAACCACCCAACCCAACCCAACCCACTAGTACTTTTATTATGAACCACCCAACCCACTACGTGGGATTTTTACTTTTTAAAAAAAAAAATTAGATATAATCATTTAAAATGTCTTAAGTTATATAGCATATATGTTTAATGTGTTTTTAAATTTTGGACTTGTTAGATACTCTTTTTGTATTTTATCATTCTTTTATTATCTTATTTATAGATTTTATACAAGTATAATTTTTTATGTGTCAATATGCACTTATTTATAAGATATACAAGAAATTTACCTAAATCTGCCTAGGCCGCCTAGACGCCCGCCTAAATCCCGCCTAGGTGCTAGACGCCAGTCCGCCGCCTGACTAACGCTTAGCGTTTTTTTAGAACCTTGCCTCCATGATGGCTCATTGAGCAAGATACGTCCACTAAACTTTGTCAAGTCTCTAGTAAACTAAATTTGAGTAATTAAAGACGTTTTGGGAAATTTGACCAAAAGTCAACCCTTGGTCAACGCGATCAACGGTAAGGTCAACAACCATATGTAATCTAATCCGGTAGATCCATACATCAGAATTCGATCCATAAATTTTTAAATCCTCAAATATTATGTATAACCACATGCTATAATTTCATGACAATCCAACGCCCAGATTGTACGTTCAATAACTATATTAATCCAATCGCAAGATCCGTATGTTAGATTTCATATCCATAAATTCCTAAGGTCCTCAGAACATACAAACAACAACACACTATAATTTCAGGACGATCCAACGAGATATTTATCCACTAAAAAGATCAAGTGGTAGTAAATTACGAAACTAGGTCCAAATGATCGAATTGCGTCAAACGGGGGTATCAAAAATAGATTCAAAGCATGAAGGTGGTTTCCATCGGGATGACAATGGATCGTTGGAAACCCTAAAATCGTTCAAACGCCGATTTGACGTCACCGGGGCTCCCACAGCATGAACCTTGATTGGGTTTTGTTGGGGGTCAAGGTGAGTTGAAAACTAGTGAGGGTCAACGTCGGAATGCACGGAGGACGATGATCGTCGGTCGGGAAACTTGGGGATTCCATGGTTTTGATCTGCCACGAACAGCAGCCAAACGACGAAGACTTGGGGTGGAAAATAAAGCTTGAGGAGCACTGAGTCGATCTGCGGTGGCGTTGGTTTCATCGTCGTCGGAATTCGACGAGATCGTCGTCAGAAATTCACCTGGGAAGCAAGGCATCGAGGGCTAGACAATAGAGAAACGGGTCGTACATACTCAGTTTTTATTTCGGAACCCCCCTAATATGGGCTAGGTTGAGCTGCCATATATGAGTGAAATTACCATTTTGCCCTTAATTTTGGAAGCTCGTAGTTCATTCCAACTCCGTTTTGTATATAGTTTTCATCTACGTGCTCATAGGATGGAGCTCAATCCAAAAACACTAAGAGTGGCCTAAAAAAGTCTACGAAATTTTTATTAAGAAAAATCAAATTTTATAACTAAATAACCAAATTTCCAAAATTAAATGAAATATAAGATTAATTTTCCTAAAAAATACGAAATATGAATTATTGAATAGTGGAATTCGGTATTGGGATTTCACAACACATATTGTGAACGTTTTTAATTTAATATATTATTGAAGAAATAAAATAATTATTTAATCTATTAAAATGTTAAAAATGGTCAAATATTTTAAAGTAATTTTTTAGAAAAGTTACCAAATAATGCACGTACTTATTTTTCACGTACTATACCCCGTTTCGTATTTTACTAACTATGAGAAGTGACAAATTTTTTCTTAATATATATATATATATATAATGTAACATCCCACATCGTCCAGGGGAGTGATCCTTAAATGTATATTCTCATCCCTACCTAGCACGAGGCCTTTTGGGAGCTCACTGGCTTCGAGTTCCGTAGGAACTCTGAAGTTAAGCGAGAAGGATGCCAGAGCACTCCCAGGATGGGTGACCCACTGGGAAGTTGCTCGTGAGTTCCCAAAAACAAAACCGTGAGGGAATGGTAAGCCCAAAGCGGACAATATCGTGCTACGAGAAGGATGCCAGAGCACTCCCAGGATGGGTGACCCACTGGGAAGTTGCTCGTGAGTTCCCAAAAACAAAACCGTGAGGGAATGGTAAGCCCAAAGCGGACAATATCGTGCTACGGTGGTGGAACGAGCCCGGGAAGTGGTCCCCCCCGGGGCCGGGATGTGACAAAATGGTATCAGAGCCAATCCCTGGCCGGAAATGTGCCGACGAGGACGTCGGGCCCCTAAGAGGGGTGGATTGTAACATCCCACATCGCCCAGGGGAGTGATCCTTAAATGTATATTTTCATCCCTACCTAGCACAAGGCTTTTTGGGAGCTCACTGGCTTCGGGTTTCGTATGAACTCTGAAGTTAAGCGAGAAGGATGCCAGAGCACTCCCAGGATGGGTGACCCACTGGGAAGTTGCTCGTGAGTTCCCAAAAACAAAACCGTGAGGGAATGGTAAGCCCAAAGCGGACAATATCGTGCTACGGTGGTGGAACGGGCCCGGGAAGTAGTCCGCCCCGGATCGGGATGTGACATATAATGCCTTGTTTCCTATGATGCCATCGAAAACAAAGGTTTACTACCATCTGTGACCAAAACTATTATCTTTTAATATCACCCAGTTGTAATTATTAATAAGATTAGTAGTCCTCTCTTTTTCGGGCGCTCTATAAA